GCCCCCCTCGCCCCCCTCGCCCCGCAGCGTCGTTCTGGAGGGACGGAGTTTGAACGCGAGCTACGTAGCTGGGTCGAATTCAAGTATTGAGAGCGTAGCTTTCGCGGCCGTTGTCAGTAGCCTCTTGGCTGTCCGGAATACACCGCGTCCAAACGCCATTCTGCGACCTTCCTCTGGGCGAAATGCGATTTGCGAAGTGCATTTCGCCCTGAGGAAGGTCGCAAAATGGTGGTCGAAACGTTGGCTCCCGTGCGTAGAACGCTGCGCGTCTCAGACAGCCACGGATCTACTTCTTCCACTATTGTCTGGAGGAGAAAATTAGCGGCCGGCTTCTCTCATGTATAAGTGTTCCTCGTTTACCCTATCATAACCAGGTACCTTATCAATTAATCCAAGAACAGCCCGTACTATTTTTTCCCCTCAACTGTGGCCTCTTCTCCACTTACATAGACATACTTACATGCATTACAATACCACAAATGTCGAAAAATTAGTGTTTGTGTCGCCTAGGACGGAGCCCAACTGGGTGGGATATCTAGCGGGTGAAACCCGAAAGCCGATTGTTGGTCGGCATCTAACACTTTAGGAGAGAACACCGGTTCATACCGCAATATAACATTCACTATACTTACAAAAGTAATAGATATAGTAATCGACGCACCGGAAACACTAAAGTGAATCGCTAACGCAAAGCTGAGATGTAGAATTAGACGATTTTGTGGTTCAAATGTGAATAATGGATATTTTTGAAGATTGTGGAGGCATTAAAGAATTAATAGCAGGGAAAGTTTCTCGGCAGGGTAGATATTTCGATAGGAAATGGACCGCTCTTAATCAAGAATACAGCGAATATCTTCAGTTCACAAGAAAACACATCTAAAAAAAATGTCATTTTGCAAGAGAACGTTTAGAACCGTTTAATGCACAGTCAAAAGCAAATTTTTATTTGCCAGCTGTTTGTTGAATAATATTTATGAATCTTTTTTTGATAAAAATATACTATATTCTACATATTTGTATTCCCTCAACTAAATGACGAATATTTAGTTGTGCAACATTTCTTTACCTTTCATAATGACAAGGATTTATTAAAAACCCACTACTTCCAGAATGCCAAAAAACCGATGAGGTAGTTAAGATTATGTGAAGTTATATCCTTCTTCCCCCATTCTATCTTACTCTATCTGCAAAATGAACTTTTGTGAATGGTGTTAGTTCAGAATTGGAGACATTTCCCACGCACCTGAAAGCCTTGTAAACGGCCTGTCTTGCTTCGCTTTGACTCTTCCAACAACACGCGTGAAACGTTGCGTCAAAAGGTGTGAGTAGGCGGCGATTGAAGGTGCCTTCACCATTGTTGTCATCGACATTTAAGTGCCGTTATTTTCTCTACGTGTCCTCCTTGCTGCTCCAAGGCCTCCCGGAACACTCCGTGCGTCTTCCACTTTGTTTCTCGTTGGGACCCCGGGTTTGCATTTGAAAATGTAGGCAGTGATAATTTGTAAAGGTTGCACAATAATGAGAAGTGGTTAGAGGCAAACACCTTACTAATAATACAGAGTTAAAATATATTTAAAAAAGTTAATGTTGTCTTCGATCATACTAATTGAATAAAGTAACGTTTTCCTTAAAACAAGCTGAAATAGCAGTTTGAGAACTTGCGAATGACTATCCTCCGTGTATAACTTGATTCATCAGCTTGGAATCGAAAGACGATATAGGTTTTCTTAAGGAGAAAAAAGTGTCAAAAAGGAAGTCTGAAAAGACGTGGTGAATAAACGGATGGACAGGTGAAAGTTGACGTGAAAAGTGTGACAAATGGAAAGAGAGATTCAAGGAACATTTCAATACTTTGGTTTGAAAACCTTTAGCTCTGTGGTTTCTCAGAGTCAGTGCGTCGAACAAGACTGTCATCTTCGACTTGAATGTTGTCAATATCGTTAAAAAAATAAAATATTGTAAGAAAGAAATGAAGATTTGGTTTCGCATATTATAGATTACATTTTTAATAAAGATGCAGTCGCTATCAGACTTTGGAAAATGCTTGGTTTGTCTGATATTCTTAGTCTTCTTGGGTTGCATTCGCAATTGCCCTTAGTCCTTTAGTTTCTTTTCTTTAAATCAAACCCAAAAAATGTATACGACCTCAAACTGTCTTTATTGCTTTGCAGAATTTGCTAACAGATGGTTTCGAATGACTTCCTTTACAAATTCAGGAACAATCCGCAACAACCATAATTATAAACTGCCAGAAAAAAGTGTTATTCTAAAAAGAGAACGTCTAGAAGTGTA